GCCATGCCTTTAAAATACAAGACAGTACAGTCTTGACATCTCACAACTCAAAAAGGCTTAGGAAAGGATCACGTCTGATATAGTGGTGTATTCATCTGTGAAAATCCAAACACTTCAAAGATGACACATCCTTCCTGTGTGAATAATTTACTTCAATCCAAAGTAAAGGAAAATTTAAACGGCTTCTCATCAGGCATTTGCAGTGCGCAATAAGCTGATGCGTCCATCTCCTAGCTGTGACATTTATATACTCATGACCACCTTCCTCCTCTCCCCTTCCAAGGGATTACATTGAAGTGAGTCCCAGAATGGCACCGTTTCATCTGCAACTTACCAGCCTGTCTGACCCTGTATCCTTTTTTGTGTGATTTCCAGGCCACTATATGTACGTGGACTCTGTCTATGTGAAGCACTTCCAGGAGGTGGCCCAGCTCATTTCCCCAGTGACCACAGCCCCCATGTCTGGCTGCCTCTCGTTCTATTATCAGCTTCAGCAGGGGAATGACAATGTCTTCTCCCTTTACACTCGGGATATGACTGGCCTATACGAGGAGATCTGGAAAGTGGACAGTCCAGGCAGTGCTGCCTGGAACCTTGCAGAGGTGGAGTTCAGTGCTCCTTACCCCATGGAGGTAGGTGAGCCCTGGCAGAGAAGCTACACACACAGACATGGAGGTCACTCCACTGTACTTTCATATTTGCCTCAATCATACTTTTGAAGATAGGTACACATGACTTTATTTTTACTTGCAGAGGGGGAGTTCAGTGCTCCTTACCCCATGGAGGTAGGTGAGCCCTGGCCTGGTGGCAGGCAGAGAAGCTACACAAACAGGCATGGAGGTCACTCCACTGTACTTTCGTATTTGCCTCAATCATACTTTTGAAGATAGGTACACATGACTTTATTTTTTATTTTTAAGTTAGTAAAAAAAAAAAGAGAAGGTATATCAATTTATGTAGTGAAATGTGGTGTTTTGATTCATATATAAGTGTGGCAATCAAGTCATGATAGCTAGCACATGTATCACCTCAAACATTTATTATTGTTGGTAGCAGCAACATTTAAAATATCTCTTCCTGGTTTTGAAGTGTACTGTGTATCATTATTAACTATAGCTGGCCTACTATGCAATAAGGACCAAACTATAAGCTTTTAATCTAATTGTAATTTTGTATCCACAGACCAACATTCCCCTTTCCCTTCTACTCCTGATGTACCTGCCTCTATTGTAATCTTTTAGAGGGAGGGAGCTAGAGCTAAAGCATAGCTCAGTGGTTAAGAACGCTGGGATCCAAGCCCTGTCCTCTTGATTATGCAGCAAGCACTCTTAGCTCCTGAGGCATCTCTCCAGCCCTTTAATCTTTTTCTTCCCTCTCTTTTCCCTTCTCAACCTCCTTACTTCTCTCCCTTCTCCTGTATCCCCTTCTTCCTCTCTTATTATCTTCATTGTCCATTAGAAGAAGTTTTCTAAGGACAAGTGTGGAAGCCAGTCTACCAGCTGAATTCCTGCTGCATGTTACCTCTGATCTTGTGCTACGACCATGAAGACTTCAAAGTGTGGTGTGGGGGCACTAAGGACCTGAGTATAACTCCTTCCTGAACCTCCACCCTAGAGTTACCAGTCATCTGGGGTCCTAAGCCAAAAAGAGAGTCTTCAGCTGCTGGGTTTGGGCAGCTTCAGTTTCCCTCTGGTTTGTGCAGCAGTGATGGGCAGCAGAAGGTGGCTGGAGTGACAGCAATGGCAGCAGGAAGGGTCCTGTAATGTTACAACTCTAGTATCCAGACCCTGAGCCCTACAAATGCTGCCCTGGCCTGACTGCCTAGAAAGTCACGTTTCTCAGTCCTTCATACCAGCCAATGCTGTAGCTGAAACCCAGCACCGAGACCCGTGGCCTCAAATGCTTGGCTCTTCTAGTGACCAAGTCCTACATGTCCTCTTCTGTGGCCCCCTGTGACTTTTTATCACTCTTCAGTGTCTGTCTGTGACCCTCTCTCACCATCTGTTCTTGTGGCCCTTTTCTTGCTGCTGGCCACTCCGAGCTGCCTAGGTGCTGCTTCTCCAGCTGTCAGGAACCAGCTGTGGTCCTTACAGCTCAGGCTCCACACTGCTTAGCAGTCTGCTCCACCTGCCATCACCACCACTCTGCAGTCTGTTGCTTCTTTCTTCATGTTGCTCACCCAGAAAAAGGAAAGGTGACTGAAGAGAAGCTTTTGGGGGGATCTGGAGCGCAGCGAAGGTCTCACAGCTTAAAGTCTCCAGACCGATTCACTAAGTGAGCCTGAGCAGCCTGCTTATCTAGAGAACCAATCGCAGTTTTGTTTCCTGGCACCAACCACAGCCGTGGAGGCTTTTATACTTAAATCAATCATAGCCTTGCCTCTTTAGCACCAGTCACAGAAGCCCCTCTGTTAAGCACCAAGGGAAGTGCAGCACCTAGGTAGAAATGTAGTAAGGTCATCTAGGGTTCACTGAGACCTGTGATAGCAAAACATTTGGTACAAACTGTCCAACAGCTCTGGATGAAGCTGCACCTTCAGAAGCCAGGGCAATCTCTGTGATCACTGTGTAGCTTTCTCCAGGCGTTCAAGCCCACTGGAGCTGGCACAAGAGTAGTCTGGCTGGTTGTTCAACTGATAGTCCTTTGATTCAAAGAATCCAGGCAGCGAGAGAAAAGTCCCATAGCTGCTAATTGGAAGGTTGGATTTCCCACGTCCAGCCTTTGCTTAGCTACAGGAAAATGCACATCAGAAAGCATGCTTGCTGTACAGTGTTTCTGAACACTAACAGCGATCCTTTAACAATGTTTGAACAGTGCTTACCACCTGCCCAGTGCCCCAAGGGGAGATGGGTCCTCATTTGTTTCATTAAAATCAATTTTGAAGGTTTCCTTTGTCTTTCTAGAAAAAAAATTGACTTTCTTCTTTGCAACCAAAACAGGTTTATAAAACCAGAAGCAAACATATCATTAGAGCTTTAATTTGAGACAAATCTTGTTCTATGTTACAACTCTTCACAATTATATACATGATAAATGTCCAAATCAAAAGAATTAGAAAATTCAAAGAAACAAAAATAAGTTAAACAACTTCACGAGGACAAAGACAACTGATGTCATAGTGTTTATTGCTGTAGATCTTTCTTTAAGCACATATCTGAATCTGTTTCTATAGCTGTGTGTCTTTCGGAACTCCCAAGTCCTGACAGTGTTTCCTGCCCTCTAAAGTGCATACAAACAATCAGGCCCCTAGTTGCAGAGGACAAAGGAGACAACAGAACTGTCCAAGAAGTCTGACATCTTTTTTTTTTTTTTTCTAGGTCACACAGCTGGTAGATGCCAGTGAGCTTAGGAGACTTCCTAGACCAAAATCTAATGCACAACTGAAGGAAGTGCTTCAGTCTGTCTGAGGCCCTAAACAGGCCGCAAAGATCTGGGGGTGCAGCAGCATGGTTGCTGAGCATTTGCAGCTAGCTATAAGTAGAGTCTTCACTGCCAAAGTTATTAATACCCCCCAGCTTTTCACTTCATACTTTCTGCAGTGTCTTCTCCAGTTCCCTTTACAGAACAGAAGTGGCTTGTTCCCCTGGCTGCTTTTCAGTGGCGCCATCTGCTAGCCTGCTGCGGAACTGGAGAAGGTTGGGCTTGCTCTCCTTTCCAATGTGCTCTGCTGCTGGTGTGCCCGACACTCCTCTGTCCCCTCCCGATTCCTCTCAGATCCCTCACTCCAAACAGCTCCAGAGACAGCACAGTGCCTTTGTAAAATGCATGCTATTTCCTGTCACAAAGTCTGATCAGGGTTTGATTTGAGCTAGCAGCCCAGTGGAAATTTTCTGTGAGTTTGGGCTCCAGAAGGAAAAGAAATGCTGCCCCAGAACATTTTTCTCTGTTAAAGTCAAATGAGTCACACATTAATGCACATTCAGGAAGTTTGTGTATATGCATATGCATGTGTGTGTCACACACACACACACACACACACACACACACACACACACACACACACTGATAGAGTTTCCTTTGCCAACTTCTTTTGTCCAACGGAAGCTCTTAGGGCAACATTTGCATGAATGAAGCATTGCTGGATTTTTTTTTTTTAATCAGCACTTGAAAAGTCAAAATGCTAGGCACTAGTAGCCCTTAACATTCATCTTTGGACCCACATGTATGTGGCTTGGCTCCACTGCCTGAGTCTGTCATTTGTGGTGTTTGCTCTTACTAATTGCCAAGAAAAGGAATTGGCACTGGAGAAATCAAGGAACTTGATGTCATCACATTCTCAAGTGCATTTCCAAAGGAAAGTAAACATGGGCAACTTTTCTGAGCCGAGAACACTGGCATACGGCTGTGATTGGCAGACCCTTGTCAGAAAGAGCTTCTTAATCTCTCTGCTCAATATGAGCAGTCTTTTCCCTCTTTCTATCAGTGCCCCAGTGTCATTGGTCTGTGGTGGGGTGGGGGGGGCATGCACACATCACAATTTCCCCTTTTATAAAGACTGTAAGGACATCAGTCATTTGGAATAGAAACCCACCCTTCTGCAGTTATAACCTTACCTTAATTACATTTGTAAAACCTCACTCTCCAATAGGGAAACAAACTGCGATCCTAGGGATTAGGACTCGGGGTAGCCGCTGCCTCCTTTAGATAGGTTTGCCTTCTCCACACTTGAGAATCTGCATCACAGAGAGCCAACTTCATGTAGTTAGACCTTCCTGGGCCTGCCGTGCTCAAGTCATGATCCACAACGTGACTTAGTTAGCCACTCACACAGCATAGACTGCACACCTGCATTGTTTTCCTAAAACGACATGGGCCTGTGCTGATCACACCTGATACCTTATGGTCGGTCACACACAGAGAGTTCAAAGTTAGTAGGTGGAAGATAAGGAAGAAAAAGTAAAGTGATTGACATCATTGACCCATAGTTTTTGTGAATCCATTGGAACATGGCTGGAAAGGCCTAGGCACAGTGCTCATCTCTGACTACTCTCAGCTGGAGTGTCATATGGGGCAAGGGTTACAGAAAGGTTAGTTTCCTGTAGATAATGGAAGAACCTAATCTGTCTTCTTTGCTGACTGTTTCTTATAGATGAAGCCCATGGTGCTAATGATTTCTGGAATTCTGTCAGAAATATCTTGGGCATGCCAACTGATAGTCCAGGAGTGAGGAATGCAGCCACCAGTAAATACAAACTTCAGATATGTTGGTCAATTATGGGTTGCTACAACAAACTGCTGAAACCTCAGTGACTTACAAACATCAGAAATTTATCTCTCAGTCTAGAAACTGAGAAACCCAAGACCAAAGAGGGCTAGCAAATCCATTGTAGCAATGTACTTTTCCCAGTACATTGATGGCATCTTCCACTCTGTGTCCACAGAAGAAAGCTTGGAACTAAACTCAGGAACAGAGGGCTCCACCCTCTTGAGCTAACGGCCTCCTCAAAGGATTCACTTCCTAATACCATCACATTGAGGATTAGACCTCAATATATAACATTTCTGCAACCCAAACCCCTCGGAATGTAGCAACTTCCTTTTCTCTGAAAGGGGCTGTGGGTTGAGGAGGGTGATAACCAAATAGTTACATTTTGGGAAATGATTACATGAGTCCTTGTAACTTGGTCTCAATTGATGTGACTGATGAGTCATTTTCAATCGTCTAAGAGCAAGAATGTATGTAAATATATGCTAACCTGTCCTTTTCCTTCCTAGGTTATTTTTGAAGTTGCTTTCAATGGTCCCAAAGGAGGCTATGTGGCCCTGGATGATATTTCTTTCTCTCCTGTTCATTGCCAAAATCAGACAGGTGAGTCCCACTCCTTCTCCCTCATTTGGAATGTTCCTGCCTTGCCAGATGCCCAGAGTTGGCATGTGAGTTTGACTTTAATTACCTCACCCTTTGTCCTACCCTATCTTTGAAAGGTCATCAACTGAATAATCATTTTTTCTGGGGGTATTACTCCTCTTTCATCTCTCATATTGCGGACTTAATTTCTTTGATACTATACATACGTTTTCACGAGGCACTTGAAAAGTATAGTCTTCCCTCCCTATTAGAAAAAATTAAATATTAATTTATCCAAATTATTTCTTTAAATGATACCTTGGGTCCATACAATGAATAGATGGATGAATTTAGAGGAAAAACAAAGACAAAACAAAAAACTCACAACCTAATGGATGGAATTACAAAAAAACTCTAATTTTTAAGTCTCCAAGATTCATAATGTCCTTATTCTTACAGATATTAGCATTCAGTAGACAAGTCTGAGATGGTTTTACCTAAACAGTATGTGCTTTTCACTACCTTCTTTTTCAAAGTGAACCCTCACATAATGTTAGCCAGGCCAAAATTATAATTCTATAACTTTGATGTCTGAAAAGAAAGGGAATTCTCTACTTTCTTAGAAAATGGATAAACAAAGTATTTGACAATAAGGATGACAGTAGTTAAACAATGACACAGTTATTAAATGCAATTGTCCTTACTGTTCAGTAAATTCATTTCCTTGAAACACAAAGGGTGGCACTGTGCCCATCCCATCTTACTAACAAGCACTCTTTCTGTGTCTGGAGCATGGGAAATCCATTAGTGAAGCTGACATTTGTGGCCTGACTTTCTGTTAAGACAGATCTGGTCTCTAATATGCTTTCAGCTATATCCTATCAAGTAGACTAAGTTAATTTTTTTCCACTTGAGCTACACTGTTATCTGCAAATTAGAGAGAAACTTAATTTGATAGCAAGAAAACTAAGTGTTCTTTGTTGTAGTGATTTGAACAAAAATGGCCCCCATAAGCTCATAAGGGGTGACACTATTAGGAGGTGTGGCCTTGTTGGAGTAGGTGTGGTATTGTTAGAGAAAGTGTTACTGTGGGTGAGCTTTGAGGTCTCAAATGCTCAAGCCAGGCCCAGTGTCTCTCTCTCTTCCTGGTGCCTGTGGATCCAGATGTAGAATTCTAATCTACTTCTCCAGCAACATGTCTGCCTGCATGCCACCATGCTTCCTGCCATGACGCTAATGAACTAAACCTCTGAACTGTAAACCAGGCCCCAATTATATGTTTTTCTTTATAAGCATTTCCATGGCCATGGTGTATCTTCATAGCAAAAGAAATCCTAACTAAGACATGTTGTTGTTGTTTCACTGATTCTAATTTAAAAGGAGTTAAATGAGACCATATCAATCCAGAGCCTCAGGCATGGGAGGCAAGTTCTCTACCTCCCTAGCTACCACTTAACTATTATGTGCTTATATTTTTTTTAAATAATTTAGCTCAAAGATTAAAATTGTCCCTAAATTTGATAGAACACAGAAAAAAAATGTTTTACTTCTTAGAAATTTGATTGCTGCCTGCTACCACCAGTTAATGTCTCAATTATGATAGTGGTAATTTCACAATTTCCTTGTTAATTTTTTGAAGTTTTTCTTCTATGTTACTGGGCACTTACATTGAACTTTTCCATCTCTAAGCTAGGCATGTGGGAGAAGAAGTATTTGTTCAATGTCTGTGCTGGATGGAGGGTGGGATGAAGAGGTAGCCAGGATGTAACAATGCCAACCTAACAGATGCTTCTGGAAGAGAAGTGGAATGTGCATGAGCACTTTACTTTCCTACAACACCGGTCTGACTGGAAAACAGGAAAAAATGATTCCAGCAAACCGAGGCTACATGAGAGGGCCAGCAGTTCCTCAGTGGGTAATATGCTCGCTCAAGGCCCCTTTCCCTGCAGGAACACACGTGTGTTTTTTCATACAGCAGATCAGTCAAGGCTCTTCTACTGGTCTTTAGAACTCAGTGTGCGTGCCAGTCTTGCTTTTAAAAATCACTTAATTGCATCATTTTAGTATTATCCCCAAGAACCAGGAAACGGATTCTGATCCCTTTACTCACACTTATAAGCTGTGTGATCTTGTCATGGTAATTTTTAAAAAGATTTATTTATTTGTATGTGTTTTGCCTGCACGCATGTATGTGCATGCAATGCCCACTGTGGACAGAAGAGGGTGTCAGAACTATAGGTTCCAGGTGGTTGTGAGCCTTCATGGAGGTGCTGGGATGACAACATTGTATCACAATGTCAAAAAGTTAGGACACTTCTGGGAGTCTGCACTACTGCATTTTGCTCTATAAATCCTAGAACACCCAACAGGCCTTCCTGTCTACTTGTAGAAGGCCTAATTTTAATGCCCAACTCCAAAATGCTGTGTCATATACAGGCCCGGGCTTCTTTCTATCCATTCCCATCCAGGTCAGATACTGCAAGAGTCCTGGCACTCGTGGTTACTCATCCATACTCCTCAGAAGGCCACATGAGCCAACACCAACCATTCACCAACACCAGAACACAGCTCAGAGTTCTTGACATGGCCCAGAGTTCATGTCTAATTTGAACACAACTCCAATTGCTGACTAAACCGTACATGAAGTTGCTGACATTTTCCTGTCTCTGTTTCCTAAAGTGTATCTGCTAGCTATTGAGAGGCCCAGTCCCTCTTTCCTCATGGTTCTCTAGCCTAGGACCAGGTCCTAGCCACACTCACTCTTCCCACAGCCAGCTTTGAATTTTCTCAGCTCCCTTTAAACTGCTAACCATGCTCCAAGGTTAGCTTCCTTCACCATATACTGTGTCTGGTGCTTATCTCTTACTGCAGGGCCTGAGGAGTCTTTTAGATTTCAGCACTGGTTCTTAGCTTGTCTCCAGGAGCTCCATGGAGCAGAGGAAAGAGGGACAAACACTCCAACTGCTCTTCCCAGGCTGCAGTGCACTCCAACTATTAGGTCATCTAAAATGCCTCCATTTCTAAGAAATTCAAATGTCAGAAAGCAAGTATTTACCTAATGCTTACAGGATGACACTTTCTGATAACTTGGTTTAAGGGGTTTGCTTTCCTTTCTTTTTCCTATCAACTGATGCTCAGAGGCTTGTGTCTGCCTCCAGTTCCCCCCATGCAGCCAACATGTCATTAATGTGCTCCAGAAGCTTGGTTTATGATCTTCACTTAGCCCAAACTTCTGAAACAAGCTGTGAGCAAGGGCTTTGCCTCCACCTCAAATGCTGGACAGTGTACTGGGGGTCCCTATCTTTAGCTTTCAGTTACTGTCTCAATATTCTGCATAAAAAAAGACCTGGTCTATGATTTCCAATTTTGAAATTTTCTCTTTATCAGACCATAGATAAATCACTTCTAAGACCAAGTCTTTATCAAGTGAAGAAAATAACATGACCAAAAAACTCTGTGTTACCGTGGAGAAAAGTGATCCTTGCTTTAAGTTGCATTTTATTAGTGTATATGGAGGTTCAGCCAAGTGAGGAGAAGTCACAGCAATCACACATTTATCCCTCTCCCCATATATATTACTGTCACCCAGACTCCATACTTTACATTAAGGGTCACTGTTGGTATTGCATGTTCCATGGGTGTGGACAAATTTGTAATGACATATGTCCATCATTACAGTGTCACACAGGCTCTCTCTCTTCTTCCTCCCACAACCACCGATCTTTCCCTGTCTCCTGATTTTGCCTTTTCCGGTATGCCTTGCAGTTGTGGAGTCACACGGTGTACAGCCATTTCACACTGTTCTCCTTCACTTAATAATATACATCTATGTTTCCTGCAGGTCTCCTCACAGCTCCACAGATAATTTCTTTCTAGAATCTTACATTGTCTTAATGTACCACAGCTCATGTGCCCATTCACCATCTGAAGACCATCAGGGCTAAGTCCACATTCTGGCAGCTATGAATCAATCTGCTTCAAACTTTTGACTTTCAGCATTACCTCTGCCCTCTCTTACAGACCCAATAAAGGAGTTCAGATTCTCTTGCAGCAACCCAGAAGCACTATTGTGAGGTTCATTGCTGATGAGTAATTTCAATGACCTGATGATGTCTTTTTGCCAGGCATTTAGAAGTGTCTCGCCATTTCCAGAGCTAAATGGATGGCTGTACATTTTGAATTTTCATCTGTTTTCCATTCCCAGGTAGAGAGAAGTTGACTAAAAATTGAGACAGCAGGGTTTCCTCTGGTCTCCACTCTCCATGGGAGAATGCTGAAGGCATGTTGAGAGATCCTCCTGTGTGCTTGTGTGTGTTTGTGTGTGTGTGTGTGTGTGTGTGTGTGTGTGTGTGTGTGTGTGTGTGTGTGTGTGTGTATTCATTTTGTTGCAGGTTTTCTCTCCAGTTCTGGCAGAAATAGGCAGAGCAGCATGTGGGTGAATCACCAGGCCTAGAGCATTACAGCTCTCATTTCCTTTTCCACTATCAGGCTCAGGCATGTGACCTGAAATCCCCATGTTCCAGTTCTATGAGGACAGTTTCTTCTTATTCTTTTTTGGTAATACATTGTTAGTAGTCATTACCAAAAAGGAGAGAGAGAGATATGGAACTACATTTGTAGCATTTCAAACTCAGATAAAATTTACAGGGATACGGTGATGAACTCCCACAGACTCTTATTTCAGATCTAAAAACTGATAGCATTAGGCAGGGCAAACATTTGTCTTAACAGGCCTTTAAGAACACTGTACTTCTGGGTTTCAGTGAGGAAACCTTGGAAATCTACAGAACCTCCTGTAGTAGTTCAGTACTTATCCCTAGCATAGGTGTAGACTTTGGGAGCCCATTCCACATAGAGGAATACTCCCTGAGCCAAGACACACGGGGGTGGGCCTAGGCCCTATTCCAAAGGATCTTATAAACTCTGATGACACCCTATGGAAGGCCTCACCTCCAGGAGGGAGCAGAAAGGATATGTGATAAGTAGGGTTTTAATTGGAGTGGAGTGGTAGGGGAGGAGGGGAAGGAGAAGGGAACTGGGATTGTCATGTAAAACAATCTTGTTTCTAATTCAAATAAAAAAAATCTGCAAAGAAAAAAACACTTTATCCATTGAACTGTTTCAATGTATATCTGCAGTGTAATGATGAAATAACTAGGAAGGTCAGGAAACTTAATATTGACACAATGTTACCAATTAATTCCCAAAGAATATAACTGTTCCAACAGTGGTTTTTTTAAATATCTATATGTTCTTTCTGGGTCAAAACTGAATCTTGAGTTTTTTGCAGCATTTGGTTGAATGATTCTTTTGACCATTTACTCTGACCAAGTTCTTCCACCCACATGAGTGCTTTCTTGGTTTGAAAATTAACTGAGACCATAGTCTTGTCCTAAACAGCCCTGCGTAGCCAGCTGGCTGTCCCCAGAATGAAAGTTTCTCTGCAGATTACTTTTCAGTTAAACACAACAACATCCTTTGTCTCTCTGGCCCTAAGTTATCCCAACAGTGTATCTCAGACTAGGCTCATACCGAGCATCCCAAACTACTATGGTCACAGTCCCTCTGACCCCAGAGAGCAACCTAAGCTGTGAGGCTTCCAAGTCTCATGTTAATAGGACCAACTGTTATTCCCAAAGGAGCAGGATTCTTCCATATTCCACTCCATCCAGGCAGTCTGGGCCAAAGTGATACTTTTGACTCTGATAAATGATAGTAAAACTCAACAGAGCCAAACAAGAGCAGCCTGATTGACATGGTGTGACCTCTGAACTGTGAGGTTTGGGCTAAGGGCTGCTTTTCCTCCTCTACTGCTAATGCCAATTACCACCAGTCCAATGCAGAGACTAGCCAACAGGGGGAATTGCCTCTGGAAAATGCTGTTTCTAAAGCATGTCTTAGAACTTAGGCATCTCTTCATCCAGTAGTTGATGGAAGCAGAAGCAGACACCCACAACTAAACACTGAACTGAACTCTGGAATCCAGTTGCAGAGAGGGAGGAGTGATGAGCAAAGGGGTCAAGACCAGACTGAAGAAACCCACAGAGATAGCTGACCTGAACAAGAGGTTGCTCATGGACCTCAGGCTGATAGCTGGGAAACCAGCATAGGACTGTTCCAGACCCCCCAGTGAGGATGTCAGTTTGGAGGTCTAGACAATCTATGGGGCCTCTGGTAGTGGATCAGTATTTATCCCGAGTATATGAATGGACTTTGGGAGCCCTCTTCACATGGAGGGATACTCTCTCAGCCTAGACACAAGGGGTCTAGGCCCTGCTCCAAATGATACGACAGACTTTGAAGATCCCCCATGGAAGACCTTGCCCTTCCTGGAGAGCAGAAAGGGATTGGGTTGTGGGGTAGGGAGAAAGGGAGGAGGGGAGGGAGAGGGAACTGGGATTGACATGTAAAAGAAGCTTGTTTGTAATTTTAAAAAAAAAGAACTTAGGCATCTCTTAAAATGTAGATGGTTTGAAAGGTTTGAGTAAACGCTCAGTCTTCACATTCTCAAAGGAAATCCCTTCTGAAGGCTGGCACGTTTTTATTTTTGTGGACAACGTCATCAGAGCTCCTTCTTGCCCTCCTTTTAGAAAGGAGAAAAGAACAATTCCCCTGTCGTGTGGAAACACTGTTTTGATGATAACCTGTCAGCCTGCCACTTCAATGAAAATATTTTGTGTCTCTTCCTCGCTCTCCTAGCACAGATGTAGCCATATCTGTCGACTGTTTAATAGAGCCTCTGAGAGTCCCAGGCTGACTGCAACTTTGTTTCCCATTTGCCCAGGGCTTCCTTTCAGTGCTGTGGAAACCAGCTGTGACTTTGAGGAAGACCTCTGCAACTTTTATCAAGACAAAGACGGTCCCGGTTGGACCAGAGTGAGAGTGAAACCCAACATGTATCGGATTGGGGATCACACAACAGGAGCAGGTGAGTCAGAGGTCCGTCAGGCCACACATCCTGGGCTTGTTTTTACACACCACTTGCTATTCTGATTCCATTTATTCAAAGGCAAGGGGGGGAGGTAGGAAGATAAGAATGAGAATGAAGAAGCAACACTCGGTGATACAAGTGGACACTTTTAAAAGTTGTCATTCAAGATGCTACACTACACAAAGTATTTGCCATTCCATTCATTAGATATTTGGAAACGGTTGTGCCCTTCATTTCAGATAAAATACTTTACAAAAAAAAAAGAAGAGGAAGAAGAAGAAAAACCACTGGATTCCATCTGCATAAAATCTACAGAGGAATCCATAGCGACACAAGGCAGATTAGTGGTTGCGGGAGCTGAGGTGGCAGGGACGTAGTGGCTGTGGGAAGCCATTTGGGGATGATGAAAATGTTAGAGAACCAGGGTGATGACTGCACTTGCTCGAAAGTTAATGAAATGAAAGCATAGTGACTAGCAAAGGGATAGCACTATTAACGTTGTTGAAATGGGGATTTTATATCATATATTCTGCCACACACAATAATAAATGCCATCATGAGGAAAAGGCTACTAGGGAAAAAAATGAGTGAACACCTCATGGGCATAGCTGTCCCAGACCCAGGGTCTGAGGGCTGCTTGAGTATTGAAAATACTTTAATGATGTCCTTGGGAATCTCTCTCAAGGGGCACAGGACAGACAGGGGACTAAGTAATTCTGTGTTTCATTTATTTATCTGAATCCTGGTTACTATGATGAATTTGCCACAAGGTTGAGATTGCTAAATGTGCTTACTTACATAGGCCCCAAAATGGCCTTGGAAAGGGTCTTGCAATTTTATACCTAAAATTGTACATTGTTTTCTTACAGGTTGTCTAATTTGAGATGGAAATACGGGCCCTACAAAGCCTTTTCTGAATTTTGGCAAATTAACCCAGAGAGGATAAAATAGTGATATGAACCTCACTCTCCTGGCTGATAGCCATTTCAAGGAACAAAGAAATTGATAGATAAACATACACACAAATGAACACAATTCCAAGCATAGCAAAGGGATGAAAATTTGTCCCCTTCTCTTTTAGTTTCTGCAGCTGAGCCTGACAATTAAACAGACATGAATCAGGTTAGCAAGAGAAAAATTTAACATTCTAGTAAAGTATTTTTAATATGCACATGGGCACCATCACAGAATGAATGAAGACTAGAAAACTACATAGGTCTGGAAGCTTCTGTATTGCTTTTAATAAAGAATGACACAGTTGTAGAAAGTAGCAAGATAGGGGAAAGGGAAGGATAGTAAATTGTGAGAAACTGACTAGGAAATCTATGGAGGAAACTAATAAAAGACAATGGTGACTTTAGATAAAAAGTGAAGGGCAGAGAGCCCTTCCTGCCTCTACTGTTCTCAAGTGCCTATAGCTCAAAATAACCAATGTGCCAGAGTGGCATATTTTGGGGGCTATGTTCTGATGGCCTTCAGTGCTCTGAGAGAGAATAGAGAAAGGAACTGATTTTGGTTGGGGATTTAGGAGGGGTCTCTTCAAGGGAAGCTGCAGAGGACAAGGTTCTGTGAGGTCTCTCGGTGTGGAGAGAACTGACCACACCAGCTGTGTCATAGGAGGGGCAACATGGCTGCCTGTGGAAAGAGGTAGGAGTGGAGAAGCTAGAGCAATGGATGGCAGGTTGCCAGACCAGAGTAAGCACTGGGGGTTAATTATAAAGGAAATAAGAAGCCACTGAAAGGTTTTGAGTGGAGAAGAGAAGGATGAAATTTAGGTTACAAAAGGGTCTGGCTGTTGTTGTGGCCATTGAAAGGCAAAGTACCACAGATGGGACTTTTGTCACATTGGTGAGGCTGGAAGTCTGGAATCTGGGAGGCTTTTCTTCCTGGCCTGCAGACAGCAGTCCTATCACTGTTCCACACATGTCCCACCTGTGTGAGGGAGAGAACAAGCCCCCGACTCTTCTTATAAGGATGAGATTTTAAAATATTTTGGGGAAACTACGCTGGAGAGCAAACGCTGAGGTGCCATGAGAAGTCACAGAAAGGGGGAAAACTGTTCTGTTCTGCCTGCCATTGCATACATGGATCCACTTTAAGTTGATTATGTGGGTAGTTGGATTGATGGAAAGGGAACCTTTGCTGCTAGAAATTCCCATATGTTATTTAGAAGAAACAAGGAAACTGAACACAGCCTCAGTACCTGGGAGGGCCCATCAGTTAGAAACATGGTAAAAACATGTTTAATATGTGGGCAAGAGAACAGTGGGTTCTTCCAAGACACAGAAATCTCAATGCCAGGCCAACCTGCCTTCCCACCACCCGACAGGCCACTCCAGATAATAGCCTGGGAATGAGCTCTTGACTGCCACCGAATGTGACCCAGCACCAGATATCCAGAGAGCCAGACAGCCAGTGGTCCCAATCTCATTCATTCTTTTTTGTGTTATAAAAACGTATATTTCTTAATTAATGTCATGAATCTGAGTCTGTGTACTGCTTTATGACATTTACTTGAATTTCTAAGAGGTTTTGTTTGCAATGGAGGTATAAGAACATTTTATTAGATGTTTTTGTCATTTAAATCACAAACATTAGAAAAAGCATCTTCATAGTTTAAAGCCTATGGATGTAGTCTTGGCTGGCAAACTCCATTGCTTTGGCCAGTTTCCCCCTGACAGTCTGCACTACTCACTCTGCATTGCTGTCAAACTGAGTGCTTTGTTTCCTTTACAGGGCATTACCTGTTGGCCAACACTAAATTTACGTCTCAACCTGGCTACATTGGAAGGCTTTACGGTCCCTCCTTACCAGGAAACATGCAGTACTGTGTGCGTTTTCATTATGCCATCTTTGGGTTTTTGAAAATGAGTGACACCCTAGCGGTTTATATCTTTGAAGAAAACCATGTGGTTCAAGAGAAGATCTGGTCTGTGCTCGAGTCCCCGAGGGCTGTTTGGATGCAAGCTGAAATCAGCTTTAAGAAGCCCATGCCCACAAAGGTACAGTAGAACCTTCACAACCTGTGTCCATTTTTACTTGTAAGATATTTTGGTGATTTCTGTTTAGTTACTGTCCACTGATGGTGTTATTATCATCTTCTGTCCAGATTAACAATTGCATTAATACATTTCACACACATAACCTGCCCCCAGACAGCTGTATGTTAAGTTTTCAATTCCTTTGCATTTTCTGAATTATGTCCA